CAGTAGGCCAGTAGGCCAGTAGGCCAGTAGGCCAGTAGGCGAGTAGGCGAGTAGGCGAGTAGGCGAGTAGGCGAGTAGGCGAGTAGGCGAGTAGGCGAGTAGGCGAGTAGGCGAGTAGGCGAGTAGGCGAGTAGGCGAGTAGGCCAGTAGGCCAGTAGGCCAGTAGGCCAGTAGGCCAGTAGGCGAGTAGGCGAGTAGGCGAGTAGGCGAGTAGGCCAGTAGGCGAGTAGGCGAGTAGGCGAGTAGGCGAGTAGGCGAGTAGGCGAGTAGGCGAGTAGGCGAGTAGGCCAGTAGGCCAGTAGGCCAGTAGGCCAGTAGGCCAGTAGGCGAGTAGGCGAGTAGGCGAGTAGGCGAGTAGGCGAGTAGGCGAGTAGGCGAGTAGGCGAGTAGGCGAGTAGGCGAGTAGGCCAGTAGGCGAGTAGGCGAGTAGGCCAGTAGGCGAGTAGGCGAGTAGGCGAGTAGGCGAGTAGGCGAGTAGGCGAGTAGGCGAGTAGGCGAGTAGGCGAGTAGGCGAGTAGGCGAGTAGGCGAGTAGGCGAGTAGGCGAGTAGGCCAGTAGGCCAGTAGGCCAGTAGGCCAGTAGGCCAGTAGGCCAGTAGGCCAGTAGGCCAGTAGGCCAGTAGGCCAGTAGGCCAGTAGGCGAGTAGGCGAGTAGGCGAGTAGGCGAGTAGGCCAGTAGGCCAGTAGGCCAGTAGGCCAGTAGGCCAGTAGGCCAGTAGGCCAGTAGGCGAGTAGGCGAGTAGGCGAGTAGGCGAGTAGGCGAGTAGGCGAGTAGGCCAGTAGGCCAGTAGGCCAGTAGGCCAGTAGGCCAGTAGGCGAGTAGGCGAGTAGGCGAGTAGGCGAGTAGGCGAGTAGGCGAGTAGGCGAGTAGGCGAGTAGGCGAGTAGGCGAGTAGGCCAGTAGGCCAGTAGGCCAGTAGGCCAGTAGGCCAGTAGGCCAGTAGGCCAGTAGGCCAGTAGGCCAGTAGGCCAGTAGGCGAGTAGGCGAGTAGGCGAGTAGGCGAGTAGGCGAGTAGGCCAGTAGGCGAGTAGGCGAGTAGGCGAGTAGGCGAGTAGGCGAGTAGGCGAGTAGGCCAGTAGGCGAGTAGGCCAGTAGGCGAGTAGGCGAGTAGGCCAGTAGGCGAGTAGGCCAGTAGGCCAGTAGGCCAGTAGGCCAGTAGGCGAGTAGGCGAGTAGGCGAGTAGGCGAGTAGGCGAGTAGGCGAGTAGGCGAGTAGGCGAGTAGGCGAGTAGGCGAGTAGGCGAGTAGGCGAGTAGGCGAGTAGGCGAGTAGGCCAGTAGGCCAGTAGGCCAGTAGGCCAGTAGGCGAGTAGGCCAGTAGGCGAGAAGGCGAGTAGGCGAGTAGGCGAGTAGGCGAGTAGGCGAGTAGGCCAGTAGGCGAGTAGGCCAGTAGGCCAGTAGGCCAGTAGGCGAGTAGGCGAGTAGGCGAGTAGGCGAGTAGGCGAGTAGGCGAGTAGGCCAGTAGGCGAGTAGGCCAGTAGGCCAGTAGGCGAGTAGGCGAGTAGGCGAGTAGGCGAGTAGGCGAGTAGGCGAGTAGGCGAGTAGGCGAGTAGGCGAGTAGGCGAGTAGGCGAGTAGGCCAGTAGGCCAGTAGGCCAGTAGGCCAGTAGGCCAGTAGGCCAGTAGGCCAGTAGGCGAGTAGGCGAGTAGGCGAGTAGGCGAGTAGGCGAGTAGGCGAGTAGGCGAGTAGGCCAGTAGGCCAGTAGGCCAGTAGGCGAGTAGGCGAGTAGGCCAGTAGGCGAGTAGGCCAGTAGGCCAGTAGGCCAGTAGGCCAGTAGGCCAGTAGGCGAGTAGGCGAGTAGGCGAGTAGGCGAGTAGGCGAGTAGGCGAGTAGGCGAGTAGGCGAGTAGGCGAGTAGGCGAGTAGGCGAGTAGGCGAGTAGGCGAGTAGGCGAGTAGGCGAGTAGGCGAGTAGGCCAGTAGGCCAGTAGGCCAGTAGGCCAGTAGGCCAGTAGGCCAGTAGGCCAGTAGGCGAGTAGGCGAGTAGGCGAGTAGGCGAGTAGGCGAGTAGGCGAGTAGGCGAGTAGGCGAGTAGGCGAGTAGGCGAGTAGGCGAGTAGGCCAGTAGGCGAGTAGGCCAGTAGGCCAGTAGGCCAGTAGGCCAGTAGGCCAGTAGGCGAGTAGGCGAGTAGGCGAGTAGGCGAGTAGGCGAGTAGGCGAGTAGGCGAGTAGGCGAGTAGGCGAGTAGGCCAGTAGGCGAGTAGGCCAGTAGGCGAGTAGGCGAGTAGGCGAGTAGGCGAGTAGGCCAGTAGGCCAGTAGGCCAGTAGGCCAGTAGGCGAGTAGGCGAGTAGGCGAGTAGGCGAGTAGGCGAGTAGGCGAGTAGGCGAGTAGGCGAGTAGGCGAGTAGGCGAGTAGGCGAGTAGGCGAGTAGGCGAGTAGGCGAGTAGGCGAGTAGGCCAGTAGGCCAGTAGGCCAGTAGGCGAGTAGGCGAGTAGGCGAGTAGGCGAGTAGGCCAGTAGGCCAGTAGGCCAGTAGGCCAGTAGGCCAGTAGGCGAGTAGGCCAGTAGGCCAGTAGGCGAGTAGGCGAGTAGGCGAGTAGGCGAGTAGGCGAGTAGGCGAGTAGGCGAGTAGGCGAGTAGGCCAGTAGGCCAGTAGGCCAGTAGGCCAGTAGGCCAGTAGGCCAGTAGGCCAGTAGGCGAGTAGGCGAGTAGGCGAGTAGGCGAGTAGGCGAGTAGGCGAGTAGGCGAGTAGGCGAGTAGGCGAGTAGGCGAGTAGGCGAGTAGGCCAGTAGGCGAGTAGGCGAGTAGGCGAGTAGGCGAGTAGGCGAGTAGGCGAGTAGGCGAGTAGGCGAGTAGGCGAGTAGGCGAGTAGGCGAGTAGGCGAGTAGGCGAGTAGGCGAGTAGGCGAGTAGGCGAGTAGGCGAGTAGGCGAGTAGGCGAGTAGGCGAGTAGGCGAGTAGGCGAGTAGGCCAGTAGGCCAGTAGGCCAGTAGGCCAGTAGGCCAGTAGGCGAGTAGGCCAGTAGGCGAGTAGGCGAGTAGGCGAGTAGGCGAGTAGGCGAGTAGGCGAGTAGGCGAGTAGGCCAGTAGGCCAGTAGGCCAGTAGGCCAGTAGGCCAGTAGGCGAGTAGGCGAGTAGGCGAGTAGGCGAGTAGGCGAGTAGGCGAGTAGGCGAGTAGGCGAGTAGGCGAGTAGGCGAGTAGGCGAGTAGGCGAGTAGGCCAGTAGGCGAGTAGGCGAGTAGGCGAGTAGGCGAGTAGGCGAGTAGGCGAGTAGGCCAGTAGGCCAGTAGGCCAGTAGGCCAGTAGGCCAGTAGGCCAGTAGGCCAGTAGGCCAGTAGGCCAGTAGGCCAGTAGGCGAGTAGGCGAGTAGGCGAGTAGGCGAGTAGGCGAGTAGGCGAGTGGGCGAGTGGGCGAGTGGGCGAGTGGGCGAGTGGGCGAGTGGGCGAGTGGGCGAGTGGGCGAGTAGGCGAGTAGGCGAGTAGGCGAGTAGGCGAGTAGGCGAGTAGGCGAGTAGGCGAGTAGGCCAGTAGGCCAGTAGGCCAGTAGGCGAGTAGGCGAGTAGGCGAGTAGGCGAGTAGGCGAGTAGGCGAGTAGGCGAGTAGGCGAGTAGGCGAGTAGGCGAGTAGGCGAGTAGGCGAGTAGGCGAGTAGGCGAGTAGGCCAGTAGGCCAGTAGGCCAGTAGGCCAGTAGGCGAGTAGGCGAGTAGGCGAGTAGGCGAGTAGGCGAGTAGGCGAGTAGGCCAGTAGGCCAGTAGGCCAGTAGGCGAGTAGGCCAGTAGGCCAGTAGGCCAGTAGGCCAGTAGGCCAGTAGGCCAGTAGGCCAGTAGGCCAGTAGGCCAGTAGGCCAGTAGGCCAGTAGGCCAGTAGGCGAGTAGGCGAGTGGGCCAGTAGGCCAGTAGGCCAGTAGGCCAGTAGGCCAGTAGGCCAGTAGGCCAGTAGGCCAGTAGGCCAGTAGGCCAGTAGGCCAGTAGGCCAGTAGGCCAGTAGGCCAGTAGGCCAGTAGGCGAGTAGGCGAGTAGGCGAGTAGGCGAGTAGGCCAGTAGGCCAGTAGGCCAGTAGGCCAGTAGGCCAGTAGGCCAGTAGGCGAGTAGGCGAGTAGGCGAGTAGGCGAGTAGGCCAGTAGGCCAGTAGGCCAGTAGGCCAGTAGGCCAGTAGGCGAGTAGGCGAGTAGGCGAGTAGGCCAGTGTGCGGCGTGGAGAAGGGAGTAGAAGAGACGCACGAGAACCCAGGAGGTCTGGGGGGAGGGGTGCACCAAGCGAGGGGGGCAAAGGGGGAGTAAGTGAATAAGGGCGTTGAGACAGCATGTGCCGTCAGCGAGGGAGTAGAAGAGCCGCACGAGAACGTCGCGGGCCAAGTAGCAGGGCGAGCCGAGGAGGTCTGGGGGAGAGGGAAAAGAGAGGTGAGGGGATGAGGAGTGGAAGGGCATTATCATCATTGGAAAACCTATCGGCCTCACCCATAGCTCATGTCAATAGGAATAAGCATTGGGAGTAAAGAAAAAGAAGCAGCTTTGAGGGCGTGTTTAGATAGAGAGGGGAAGGACAGGCAAGGAAGTACTGACAGCAGGAGAGGAGCGAGGAGACGAGGGAGGTGGCAGAGGCATCGAAGGAGCGACAGTGGAAGACAATGCGAAGGGGGAGAACTACTGAGAGCAAGCGAGCAGAGACTGAAGAAGTGTTTTGAGACGTCTCAAATCGCGAACTGGAAGTCAATGCGAAGGGAGAGAACTACTGGGAGCAAGCGAGCAGAGACGACACAGCCAGAGAACACTGACAGCATGTGAACAGAAATGTTAGTGGCAGGAAATACTGACAGCAGGAGAGCAGCGAGGAGACGAGGGAGGTGGCAGAGGCGTCAAAGGAGAAAAGCTATGAGAGGAGGGAAAGGAGAGCGATACTAACAGCATGCGAGGAGTGAGGAGAGGAGAGTGGCAGCACTGACAGCAGGAGAGCAGCGAGGAGACGAGGGAGGTGGCAGAGGCATCGAAGGAGCGACACTGGAAGACAATGCGAAGGGGGACAACTACTGAGAGCAAGCGAGCAGAGATGACATAGCCAGAGAACACAGACAGCAGGAGAGCAGCGAGGAGACGAGGGAGGTGGCAGAGGCATCAAAGGAGCGTCGTTGGAAGACAATGCGCACGATGGGACGGGCCAATGGGAGCATGACAGCTGTCATCGGGAGAGTCACGGCCTGTGAGGGGCGAGGGGAGGGAACAAAAGAGGATGTGATGAGGTGAGGTGGGGTGTGGTGGGGTGTGGTGGGGTGTGGTGGAGTGAAGTATGTTGAGGTGGGTGGGATGGGATGAGATGCGGTTGGGTGGGTTGAGAGAGGATGCCGATGCTGAAAGAGAAGCGGTGTGACATATGGTATCAACCATGTGGCATATGGTATCAACCATGTGGCATATGGTATCAACCATGTGGCATATGGTATCAACCATGTGACATATGGTATCAACCATGTGGCATATGGATAGCATCATCAGCAGCAGTTGTTTTTTTGAGAATTTTCAAAAAACAAATTCAGCCTCATATGGTATCAACCAGGTGGCATAAGCAGAGCATCATCAACAGCATGCCATGCTGTGCCATAGCCATGCATGCCATACCATAGCACTGCCATAACATCCATACCACACCACACCACACCACACCACACCACACTACACCACACCACACCACACCACACCACACCACACCACACCGCACCATGCCATACCAGTGCCATGACCAGCCCTCGTCGCAAGCTATCCTTCAAGAGAGGTCGATCCTTAGGCTGAATGGGGAAGAGAGAGGGGGGATGGGGGAGAGACACGACAGGGAGGAGAGAGGGGGAAGAGCGATGCAACTAAGTAGACTGGGATGGCCAGGATGAGCAATGAACACTCACATGGAAAAGGATTCACACTCTGACACACTTACTCACTCACTCACTCACTCACACACTCACTCACTCACTCACTCATTCACTCACTCACATGAGCGAGACGAGCAAAGGCAGGCAGCAGCGGCACGAGGAGGGTGGTGGAGAGAATCCCAAGCGGTGCCATTACCAGCAGATTGGCGTCTGGGAAGGGGAGGAGCAAAAGGGGGGGTAGGTTGGGGGAACAGGGAAGGGTAGGGATTGAAGAGGGGACAATGACAAGAGGAGGCACGGGGAGGGCGGTGGAGAGAATACCAAGCGGTGCCATGACCAGCAGATTGGCATCTGGGGAGGGGTGTGGGGAGAGGGGGGGACAGGTTAAGGGAGACGGGGGGATAAGGATCAAGGAGGGAAGGACAACGAAGGCACGAGGAGGGCGGTGGAGATAATCCCGAGGGGTGCCATGACCAGCAGATTGGCGTCTGGGGGGGAAGAGCAAGAAGAAGGGGTAGGTTGGGAGGTGGGGAAGGGGCAACGACAGGCAGCAGCACAAGCAGGACGGTGGCGAATGCTGACCAGAGCAACAGCTCCGGGAGCAACACAGACCTGTTTTTTGAGAATTCTCAAAAAACATAAGCAGCACAAGCAGGGCGGTGGCGAATGCTCCGGGAGCAACACAGACCTGGTGGGGGGGAGCAACAGCGGCAACAACTTTGACTGTATCAGCACTCACAGCCGAGAGCAGCGGCGGTGCCGGGAAGGAATGAGGCAAAGTAGAGGTCTGTGAAGGTGGCGGTAAGGGTGATGAGTGAAGGTGGAGGGTATTAGTTGCTTGGAGTGCTGATTCAGCAACACAAAGCACCCAGAGGCAGGAGGGTGGTGCTACAACATACAACACTCACAGCCAAGAGGAAGCGAAGTAAAGGTCTGTGAAGGTGGCAGTGAGAGTGGTGAGTGAATGTGGAAGAAATACACAGCAGCACACAGCACTCACAGCCGAGAGCAGCAGCAGTGCCGGGAAGGAAGGAAGCAAAGTAGAGGTCGGTGAAGGTGGCGATTTGAAGCATGCCCGATGCAACTGTTGCTGGAATCAGAACGCCAAAGACCTAGTGGGGAGAGGAAGAGACAGAGCAGTCGGAATGAGCCGTAATAAACGGATGAAATGAGAGAAGCATGCAATGAAAAATACGACTGTGATTTCTCACCTCTCTCAGTTGCTCGCTATGTCGTGCAAACAGCGCAGTTAGAGGCAGCCAGCTGGGGGCATGCACATGAGGCGCTGTGGCTGCTGCTGCTGCTGCTGCTGCTGATGGTGGTGATGGTGCTGGTGCTGGTGCTGCTATTGCTGCTGTTTTTGCTGTTGCTGGTGGTGCTGGGGGTAGCGATGGTGCTGTTGCTGCTGCTGGCGACGCTGCTGGCGGTGCTGCTGGTGTCGGGTCCTCTGGTTGTTCGGTTGTCACCACCACTTGCACTGCTGATGCTGCTGCTGTTGTTTCAGGAAGTGGTGTCGCTGCCAGTTGCTGTGGTGCTGGTGCTGATCGAATCTCAGCTACAAGCTGCGATAGGCACAGGCAGAGGGGGTTGGAGAGTGTAGAGGAGATAAGCATAGGGATATTGTCACTTGCTGTGCTGCTGTTTCAGGAGGTGCTGGAACTGCCAGTCGCTGTGGTGCTGGAACTGCCAGTCGCTGTGGTGCTGGAACTGCCAGTCGCTGTGGTGCTGGAACTGCCAGTCGCTGTGGTGCTGGAACTGCCAGTCGCTGTGGTGCTGGAACTGCCAGTCGCTGTGGTGCTGGAACTGCCAGTCGCTGTGGTGCTGGAACTGCCAGTCGCTGTGGTGCTGGAACTGCCAGCCGCTGTGGTGCTGGAACTGCCAGCCGCTGTGGTGCTGGAACTGCCAGTCGCTGTGGTGCTGGAACTGCCAGTCGCTGTGGTGCTGGAACTGCCAGTCGCTGTGGTGCTGGAACTGCCAGTCGCTGTGGTGCTGGAACTGCCAGTCGCTGTGGTGCTGGAACTGCCAGTCGCTGTGGTGCTGGAACTGCCAGTCGCTGTGGTGCTGGAACTGCCAGTCGCTGTGGTGCTGGAACTGCCAGTCGCTGTGGTGCTGGAACTGCCAGTCGCTGTGGTGCTGGAACTGCCAGTCGCTGTGGTGCTGGAACTGCCAGTCGCTGTGGTGCTGGAACTGCCAGCCGCTGTGGTGCTGGAACTGCCAGTCGCTGTGGTGCTGGAACTGCCAGTCGCTGTGGTGCTGGAACTGCCAGTCGCTGTGGTGCTGGAACTGCCAGTCGCTGTGGTGCTGGAACTGCCAGTCGCTGTGGTGCTGGAACTGCCAGTCGCTGTGGTGCTGGAACTGCCAGTCGCTGTGGTGCTGGAACTGCCAGTCGCTGTGGTGCTGGAACTGCCAGTCGCTGTGGTGCTGGAACTGCCAGTCGCTGTGGTGCTGGAACTGCCAGTCGCTGTGGTGCTGGAACTGCCAGTCGCTGTGGTGCTGGAACTGCCAGTCGCTGTGGTGCTGGAACTGCCAGTCGCTGTGGTGCTGGAACTGCCAGTCGCTGTGGTGCTGGAACTGCCAGTCGCTGTGGTGCTGGAACTGCCAGTCGCTGTGGTGCTGGAACTGCCAGTCGCTGTGGTGCTGGAACTGCCAGTCGCTGTGGTGCTGGAACTGCCAGTCGCTGTGGTGCTGGAACTGCCAGTCGCTGTGGTGCTGGAACTGCCAGTCGCTGTGGTGCTGGAACTGCCAGTCGCTGTGGTGCTGGAAACTGCCAGTCGCTGTGGTGCTGGAACTGCCAGTCGCTGTGGTGCTGGAACTGCCAGTCGCTGTGGTGCTGGAACTGCCAGTCGCTGTGGTGCTGGAACTGCCAGTCGCTGTGGTGCTGGAACTGCCAGTCGCTGTGGTGCTGGAACTGCCAGTCGCTGTGGTGCTGGAACTGCCAGTCGCTGTGGTGCTGGAACTGCCAGTCGCTGTGGTGCTGGAACTGCCAGTCGCTGTGGTGCGGTGCTGGAACTGCCAGTCGCTGTGGTGCTGGAACTGCCAGTCGCTGTGGTGCTGGAACTGCCAGTCGCTGTGGTGCTGGAACTGCCAGTCGCTGTGGTGCTGGAACTGCCAGTCGCTGTGGTGCTGGAACTGCCAGTCGCTGTGGTGCTGGAACTGCCAGTCGCTGTGGTGCTGGAACTGCCAGTCGCTGTGGTGCTGGAACTGCCAGTCGCTGTGGTGCTGGAACTGCCAGTCGCTGTGGTGCTGGAACTGCCAGTCGCTGTGGTGCTGGAACTGCCAGTCGCTGTGGTGCTGGAACTGCCAGTCGCTGTGGTGCTGGAACTGCCAGTCGCTGTGGTGCTGGAACTGCCAGTCGCTGTGGTGCTGGAACTGCCAGTCGCTGTGGTGCTGGAACTGCCAGTCGCTGTGGTGCTGGAACTGCCAGTCGCTGTGGTGCTGGAACTGCCAGTCGCTGTGGTGCTGGAACTGCCAGTCGCTGTGGTGCTGGAACTGCCAGTCGCTGTGGTGCTGGAACTGCCAGTCGCTGTGGTGCTGGAACTGCCAGTCGCTGTGGTGCTGGAACTGCCAGTCGCTGTGGTGCTGGAACTGCCAGTCGCTGTGGTGCTGGAACTGCCAGTCGCTGTGGTGCTGGAACTGCCAGTCGCTGTGGTGCTGGAACTGCCAGTCGCTGTGGTGCTGGAACTGCCAGTCGCTGTGGTGCTGGAACTGCCAGTCGCTGTGGTGCTGGAACTGCCAGTCGCTGTGGTGCTGGAACTGCCAGTCGCTGTGGTGCTGGAACTGCCAGTCGCTGTGGTGCTGGAACTGCCAGTCGCTGTGGTGCTGGAACTGCCAGTCGCTGTGGTGCTGGAACTGCCAGTCGCTGTGGTGCTGGAACTGCCAGTCGCTGTGGTGCTGGAACTGCCAGTCGCTGTGGTGCTGGAACTGCCAGTCGCTGTGGTGCTGGAACTGCCAGTCGCTGTGGTGCTGGAACTGCCAGTCGCTGTGGTGCTGGAACTGCCAGTCGCTGTGGTGCTGGAACTGCCAGTCGCTGTGGTGCTGGAACTGCCAGTCGCTGTGGTGCTGGAACTGCCAGTCGCTGTGGTGCTGGAACTGCCAGTCGCTGTGGTGCTGGAACTGCCAGTCGCTGTGGTGCTGGAACTGCCAGTCGCTGTGGTGCTGGAACTGCCAGTCGCTGTGGTGCTGGAACTGCCAGTCGCTGTGGTGCTGGAACTGCCAGTCGCTGTGGTGCTGGAACTGCCAGTCGCTGTGGTGCTGGAACTGCCAGTCGCTGTGGTGCTGGAACTGCCAGTCGCTGTGGTGCTGGAACTGCCAGTCGCTGTGGTGCTGGAACTGCCAGTCGCTGTGGTGCTGGAACTGCCAGTCGCTGTGGTGCTGGAACTGCCAGTCGCTGTGGTGCTGGAACTGCCAGTCGCTGTGGTGCTGGAACTGCCAGTCGCTGTGGTGCTGGAACTGCCAGTCGCTGTGGTGCTGGAACTGCCAGTCGCTGTGGTGCTGGAACTGCCAGTCGCTGTGGTGCTGGAACTGCCAGTCGCTGTGGTGCTGGAACTGCCAGTCGCTGTGGTGCTGGAACTGCCAGTCGCTGTGGTGCTGGAACTGCCAGTCGCTGTGGTGCTGGAACTGCCAGTCGCTGTGGTTCATAGAGCACCTGAAAGGAGAAGAGAGCACCTGAAAGTGAGCGAGAGCACCTGAAAGCATGCAAGAGCACCTGAAAGCATGCAAGAGCACCTGAAAGCATGCAAGAGCACCTGAAAGCATGCAAGAGCACCTGAATCAGCCACTGCAGGAGAGCACCGGCAGTGAAGCTGACAGCCAGACACGTTCCACCTGCCATGGTGCATACGGAAACAAGAGATGGGAGAGGCGTTCAGGACACGTGTCAGATTGTACGAGATGCAAGAACCAACACCAGCAGCAGGAGAGCACCGGCAGTGAAGCTGACAGCCAGACATGTTCCACCTGCCATGATCCACATAGAAAAAAGATTAGCAAGTCAAACAAGGGTAGCAAAGAAACGAGATACCAAAGAGCCATTGAGAGCACAAAGAGAGAAACAAGTGGCTGAGAGTTTGTTTGCGAACAAGCATAGGAGTGCAAGGGTCACGGGCCTATCCTAAACCTATCCCGAACCTATCACCGAACCTATCACCGACCTATCACGGACCTATGATCTCGCGTTGAGGTGAGGCAATGGGGGACCAGCGACACAGGGCGAAGTAGACAGCAATCTGGATGAAGTGAGGGGAGTGGTGGAAAAAGGAGTGTCGTTGAGGGGGCATGAGAGGGACCTTGGTGAGATTTGAGGCAAGGGGGGACCAGCGGCATAGGGCGAAGTAAAAGGCAATCTGGATGGAGTGAGGGGAAGAGTGGGTGGAAGGGGGAAGGGGGTGTTGACCAAGGAGGAGGGGGGTGTGGGGAGAGGCATGAGAGGGGCCTTGGGGGAATTTGCGGCAAGAGGGGACCAGCAGCACAGGCCGACGGAAAATCCCCTCATTGGCACAGGGCAGTAACAGAGTATTATCTCTGGAGCTTGAGAGGAGAAGAGCATAGCACTTTGTGGGTTCTTCAGCCTTACCCCGAGCAGAACTGAGAGGCTGGAGAGAGAAGGGGAGAGGGACGGAATGGCAAACTCCCCTCTTGCACTGTGGGATGTGATGGGTGGTGGTGGGGGGCAATGGGGGAGGAAGGAAGGGGTGCTGAGGGATGATGAGGGATGCTTAGGGAAGGAGCAGACAGACAGGCAGGCAGGACGCAGGCGGGCAGGCAGGCGGGCAGACAGGCGGGCAGGCAGGCAGGACGCAGGCGGGCAGGCAGGCGGGCAGACAGGCGGGCAGGCAGGCAGGACGCAGGCGGGCAGGCAGGCGGGCAGACAGGCGGGCAGGCAGGCAGGACGCAGGCGGGCAGGCAGGCGGGCAGACAGGCGGGCAGGCAGGCAGGACGCAGGTGGGCAGGCAGGCGGGCAGACAGGCGGGCAGGCAGGCAGGACGCAGGCGGGCAGGCAGGCGGGCAGACAGGCGGGCAGGCAGGCAGGACGCAGGCGGGCAGGCAGGCGGGCAGACAGGCGGGCAGGCAGGCAGGACGCAGGCGGGCAGGCAGGCGGGCAGACAGGCGGGCAGGCAGGCAGGACGCAGGCGGGCAGGCAGGCGGGCAGACAGGCGGGCAGGCAGGCAGGACGCAGGCGGGCAGGCAGGCGGGCAGACAGGCGGGCAGGCAGGCAGGACGCAGGCGGGCAGGCAGGCGGGCAGACAGGCGGGCAGGCAGGCAGGACGCAGGCGGGCAGGCAGGCGGGAAGACAGGCGGGCAGGCAGGCAGGACGCAGGCGGGCAGGCAGGCGGGCAGACAGGCGGGCAGGCAGGCAGGACGCAGGCGGGCAGGCAGGCGGGCAGACAGGCGGGCAGGCAGGCAGGACGCAGGCGGGCAGGCAGGCAGGCAGGTAGGCAGGCAAGCAGGCAGGCAGGCAGGCGAACGGGAGGGCCAGCGGGCGAGCGAGCGGGCGGGCGGGCAAACAGGCATGCAGGACTCACCTGAGTGTTCCAAAGCCGATGCCGATGAGAGGAGCGAGGGCGATGGTGGGGGCCATTTGTTGCAGCTGCGGGGGTAAGGGGAGCACGGTTTATAGAGAGTCAGGCATGGGGTTAGGGGCGCAGGGTCTCATAGAGAACGGTCAAGGTCTCATAGAGAACGGTCAAGGTCTCATAGAGAACGGTCAAGGTCTCATAGAGAACGGTCAAGGTCTCATAGAGAACGGTCAAGGTCTCATAGAGAACGGTCAAGGTCTCATAGAGAACGGTCAAGGTCTCATAGAGAACGGTCAAGGTCTCATAGAGAACGGTCAAGGTCTCATAGAGAACGGTCAAGGTCTCATAGAGAACGGTCAAGGTCTCATAGAGACTGGTCATTGTGTGCACAGGAGGAGGAGAGGAGCGAGGGCGATGCCATTTGTCGCAGCTGCAGGGGTAAGGTACGAGGAGCACGTTATTGAGGCATTGTGTGATTAGTAGGAGGAGGAGGAGGAGGAGGAGGAGGAGGAGGAGGAGGAGGAGGAGGAGGAGGAGGAGGAGGAGGAGGAGGAGGAGGAGGAGGAGGAGGAGGATGAGGAGGAGGAGGAGGAGGAGGAGGAGGAGGAGGAGGAGGAGGAGGAGGAGGAGGAGGAGGAGGAGGAGGAGGAGGAGGAGGAGGAGGAGGAGGAGAGGAGCGAGGGCAACGTCTCGAAAAGAGGAGGCTACGGGTGAGGGCAATGCAATGAGCCATTGTCTGCAGCCGATGCTGAGATTGAGGAAATGATGGTAAAGCATGGGAAACATCTCACATAGAGGCATGTGTGGCACTTGCCTGTGAGATGGCAACGTGGCGAGTCAGGGCGAATGATGCGTTGGTGAGGCTGCGCTACTGATGCCCGGATGACAGAGAGAAGGGCAGTGAGGGGTGGAACGGCGAGTGTATGTTTTTTTTTTTTATTCTCAAAAAATATATGGAGTAATTAGAGTTTGCAAGGAAGACCAGTGAGGTGTGTGGCTATTGTTGCTGGAAGACAAACAGAGGGGTTTGGCTTTTGAGGCGCCTCAAGTATTGAGTAGAGTACAGGAAGGGAAGTGGGTGGGTGGGAGCTGAGGCACTACCAGGGCTACGAGCACCGACACCAGGACCAGCAGCTCCTGCTGCATCCTCGCTGCATTCTGGCTGCTCCTCCCCCCACCCTTCTCAGTGTCTTTCCCAGTATCCTTCTCAGCAGCTTTGCTGGGCGGGCGGGAAAGACACACACGTCACGTTGGAAGGAGGCAGAGTTACGGTATTAACTCAGATAGAGAGGGAGGACGGCGTTTTTTTCAGGCGAGAAGTGCAGGCTCTTTTGGAAGAGAGGGAGGACGGTTACAGGGATCTGTGCTCATGAAGAAGGGCAGCAGTAGGCAAGGTCAAAGGTTACAGTGGGTAATGACCTGGTTTTTACAAGAGCTGGCTCACTAAACGGAAACAGCTGCTTATTTCATCTATATTCATCAGATAAAAACATAAAGAATACAGCAAGCAAATTCCTTATAAACAGTTGCAGTACCTTAGGACCGAGGCAATGGCGCTGTGAAAGGGACCGTTTACACCTGAAAGGATGGTTGCAGTGGAGGAATGGGTATGTGGGGCAGGTGGTGTGTGTGTGGGGCAGGTGGTGTGTGGTGCAGGTGGTACAGAGTGGATTGTGACTGTATTAGAAAGTGCACGAGGACTATATAGTGAATTTAGTGCAAGGAACTGACCTCCGAGCAGCGACAGGCAGAAGGTTGGGATCAGCGACGCATAACTGATATGGATAGAAGGGGGAGGAAGGTGGGGATTGGGGGAGGGGCGAGGGGAGCAGGAGTGAGAAGGGGGTGGAAGGGAGCGAGTAGGCAGAAGGTTGAGATGAGCGACACGTAACTGATATGGATAGAAGGGGGAGAGAATGGGGGAAGGGAGCGATGGGAAGAAGCGAGAGGGTGAAGAGGGGGAGAGAAAAACACAGGAGTTTGAGGATTGGAAGCACCAACCTGAAACCATTTGGAAGCACCTGATTCACCTGGAAAGGCACCTGGGGCACCTGATAGTCACCTGAGTGACGGCACCTGAAAGCACCTGGAGCACCTGAGGCACCTGAACGCACCTGAAGGCAGTCATGACTGGACCAACGCCAAATGCAGGAAGAACCTCAGCCCACCTGAGCCCACGTGAGGCCACCTGAACCCACCTGAAGACACCTGAGCCCACCTGAGGCCACCTGAACCCACCTGAAGACACCTGAGCGCACCTGAAGACACCTGAATTCACCTGAAGACACCTGAACGCACCTGAAGACACCTGAATTCACCTGAAGACACCTGAACGCACCTGAAAGCAGTCATGACTGGACCAACGCCAAAGGCAGGAAGAACCTGAGTCGACCTGAGACCACCTGGGCCCACCTGAACCAACCTGAGCTAATCAAAGGGCACCTGAGCGCACCTGAAAGCAGTCATGACTGGACCAACGCCAAAGGCAGCAGCAAGCACCATCTCTCGCATGAGGCCCTGAGGAGGATTTCAGGTGGGTGGGGGTGGGGGAAGGAGGGGAGGAAATATTATCCAATTCATCCCCTGTCCCCTGTCCCCTGCCCCCTGCCCCCTGCCCCTTGCCCCCTGCCCTCCTGGTACCCTGCCCCACTGCCCCCCTGCCCCCGCGCCCCCCCCCCATAACTCCTAGCCCTCAGCCCACCACCACCACAGCTTACCAGGACCTTGCTGGCAGCTGCTGCTGCGCCCGCTGTGCTTGCTTGCACAAGCACAGCCTATCCCCTCACACGCCGCACATGCACTCACTATAAACAAGACCTGCCCCCCTCCCCCACAGCTTACCAGGACCTTGCTGGCAGCTGCTGCTGCGCCCACCGTGCTGGCTGCCCGAAGAAAGGAGACTGGAAGGCACGAGAGAAAAGGGGGGGGGCAACGGGCAGGTGGGGAAGAGGAAGGAGCGGGCGAGGGGGCTTGAGGGGTGGGGGTTCTGGGTTAGCGTGAGGGGACCCACGCAGTGGGGGGACCCAAGCACGGGTGGCGGCAGAGGGAAAGCGGAAGTGGGGATGAGGAAGGGGCGGGGGGGGGGGGGGGGGGGGCGAGGGGGCTTGAAGGGTGCGGGTTCCGGGTTAGCGTGAAGGTTCCGGGTTAGCGTGAAGGTTCCGGGTTAGCGTGAAGGTTCCGGGTTAGCGTGAAGGTTCCGGGTTAGCGTGAAGGTTCCGGGTTAGCGTGAAGGTTCCGGGTTAGCGTGAAGGTTCCGGGTTAGCGTGAAGGTTCCGGGTTAGCGTGAAGGTTCCGGGTTAGCGTGAAGGTTCCGGGTTAGCGTGAAGGTTCCGGGTTAGCGTGAAGGTTCCGGGTTAGCGTGAAGGTTCCGGCCCAGGCCGTGGGAAGGAGAGAAGGAGAGCGAACAGAGGAAGCGGAAAGGGGGGAAGGGGAAAGGGGAAAGGGGGGAAGGGGAAGGGGAAAGGGAGAAAGGGGAGGGGCGAAAGGGGAGGGGGTAAGGGGGGGCGGGGAAGGGGGAAAGAGGAAGGGGGAAGCGGGGAGGGGGGGAGGGGGGGAAGGGGGCGGAAGGGAGGGGGAAGGGGAGGAGGCGTTGCGCTCACTCACCGTCGTCCCGCCCCCCAACAGCCTCTCGCTCCCCACCGACTACATCTCCCTTTTCTACGTCTCCTTTTTCCACGTCTGCCCACTCGCCCCTCCCCGCACTTCCCGCCGCGACTCGCGCCACCAAGCGCGTTTCCCGCCCGCGCGACCCGCCTGTGAGCAAACCCTCTCCCCGCACGCCTCTCCGCCCATTTTCCGCCTCCGCCGCTCCCCCATGCCTAACACCGCCTACCCGCGCCAGGGCCAACCACCGTCCACCACGCGTCAGACCTACATTAGCTACTCTACCCCACAAAATCCTGCCGAAACCGCTACCTATACCGCTGAGGCTACCGCTGCTGCTGCTGCGAGACGAAAGGGGAAGAGAGAAGGGAGGATCACCGCTACCTACACGGCTGACGCTACCGCTGCTGCTGCTGCGAGACGAAAGGGGAAGAGAGAAGGGAGGATCACCGCTACCTACACGGCTGACGCTACCGCTGCTGCTGCTGCGAGACGAAAGGGGAAGAGAGAAGGGAGGATCACCGCTACCTACACGGCTGACGCTACCGCTGCTGCTGCTGCGAGAGGAAGGGGGGAGGGAGAAGGAAGGATCGGTTGCGGAAAATAAGGAGCTTCGAGTGGAGAGACGAAGGGCAACGGACGACATTGCGCGCCGAGTGGGACCTTCGTGGCGCGTGAGACTGGCAAATGTGAAACCGTGTAATTTGCGAAAGCTGCAAACAACAATTAAAAAGCTACTTACTGCGTGCCAGCTGTACGTGCTCTCGTAGCTCAGTTGGTTAGAGCGTGTGGCTGTTAACCACAAGGTCGGTGGTTCAAGCCCACCTGGGAGCGCTTTTGTTCGCTTGGGCTGTGTCCCATTATGCAAAAGTTTTCCAGAATGTGTGATGCCCTTTACACCACCGCACCGTACTGTAATTCTGACATGTTGCACCCTGCAGACATGTCCGAGGTCACTCAAGACCTCACATGCTTTACCTCCCATGCTTTACTTTCTCTTCAACACATGACAAGACTGTCTTGCTCCCATTCAAATTCAAAGCACACGGATGGGTGTAAATAAATCATGAAGTGAAAGGTTCTGGAACGGGATTTAATCCACCCCCCAGCTGGTTGTGTTGCAAGAGCTTCATGGAAAGCTTTTGCATGCTTTGCTGTGGGATACATCATGGTGCTTTATGGCGATGGATATTAAGCCCCTGAACGACTTTGAGGCGACAAGAGGTTTGCTTGCGCCTGTTGCTTACAAATTGGTCCATGCACTTGCAGATGGGTCCATGCACTTTCTGCTTCGGGAATTCCGCTGGGAGTTCAGCTGCACTATTGCTCCTGATGTGAAAGTGTTTTGCTTCGCATTGCACCCATTCTCCCCCTTCTCTCCTTCCCAATCCCCCCACCCTCCCACACCTCCCCCCTCCTGCCCACTCTTTCCCACCACTGGTTCACTCTTCCAGCCAGCAAGCTCCTCCTAGGTGTTGCCTAACACAGTCACTCCACACCATCCCAACCAGAGTCATTGTCCCCTGGATATTCTTCATAATTTCAGCGATGTGAAGACTCAGGGTCGTTCATCTTCGAAATGACAGCAGAAACAATATAGCCCAGAATGATACAGTGTGCGACAAACAAAGCTGTAGTGGTAAATTATGTCAACCATACACAGTATTGAGGAGAGCAATATTGCCACTCCCGTGGCCACCAACCACAAAAATGAAAATTGGAAAATTGCTACAATTTGAGACATAACCCGATCCAATCAGACTCTACAGCTCAACCTATCACTCCCTACACGCAGGCAACCTGGGAGATTTGATCAACAGGGTTAAGTGTCTCTGAGGTGGCAGAATCAAACCTCGCTGTGCGATGCCACGGGACTGTCCTGTGAGCTTCCTATGAATGCAAGAGATTGGCATTTTCTACGCGATAACAGCCTAATCGATAAGTGCTTCGTATGTGTGTACCACGGGTTACGTACGCTGTATTGGCGTCTAGTTGATGCCGGTAGGGAACACAACAGCGTCGGTCGTATGAACCGCAAGTTTCTTCGCCATGTAGAATACGTCGCCGTTGACTATAGTGATTGTGCTTCTAGGCGCCGCCCTCCCTTGAAGCACAACGCGGTTCTTCGCGTTCGGCTTGGACGCTTTCACGAGAATGAGAGGCTTCTTGTCGCCACCGATCGCGACGGTCGCGACAGGCGTGTTCATTCGCAGCATCTGAAGCTGGCGAAAAGTGTACACGCCCTGGATCGCCTGGTAACCGACGAGCGTCGCGAGCTGGCTCGCACTGTAGCTCGTGACTTTCACCTTATTGAGTGCCTCGTTGCTCGGTACGAGCAGCGTGAGAGGCTGCTGGAGAGCGGAGCTAACCTCTTTTATTTGGCCTGGAATCAGAGAACCCGAGGGGGGGAGCAAGATGAGAGGATGAGAAGGGATGAGCGGGAGAGAAAGATGAACGCAGCAGGAAAAAGAATCAGAGAGGCGAAGGGAAGAAATGTAACCCGTGTTGTGCGCGAATTCGTGGTCCAGGGTCTAGACCGTGACATCAAACTCACTGTATAGCTTCGCGAGGGCCGCGAACTGCGTGTAACCCGTTTCGTTGAGCCTCTGCACCGCTTTGTCGAAGGCCGAAATCGAGCTGTTCGTTTTCCCCGAGTTTCCGGGATTAGTTGAGCCATTTCCTGCCCCCTTCGCGCCAGTCCCAGAGCTCTTATTTCTACCGGTAGAGCCAGCAGGTGCGGCCTTCGCGGAGCCCTTTGCGGCGGTCGTTGCGGCGCAGAAAGTTAAGAACGAAGACGCCGTGAGCACGAGGACGAGAAGACATAGGATTCGTTTAGAAGCCATAGCAGGATGGGTTCTACGGTAGTTTCGAGGAGCAGATTCGTCTACGGCTACTCGGCAGTTTCAAAAGGTCACTTTAAGTCACAAATTTTGAAAGATGGGAGGGCTAATCGTTGTCGCGAGTGAGTTCTACTAGGGAGGTACAGGACGTGTGCAGAGAAGGAACCGTCGACCTGTTTTGCTGGAGGAGCTTGATGAGTGAAAGAGGTTGATGCTTGCTTTATGTTGTGCTGGTTTTGCGATGAATGAATATGGGGGCTCACATGGGTATTTGTAGTGGGAGTGGGTATGAGCATGAGCCCGCCTGGTTGTTGCGGTGTATGTGAGTTTGCAGCACGGTTCAGTGCGGGAAATTTTGGTGTCACCTGCGCCTGCTTTTCACCGCATTAGACCCGAAATAACCGAAAAGACTCCTGAAATCCGACTCACTGGGGCCATCAAGGGCATTGGAATTGAAATTGGAGAGTTGCTGGCGGTGGCGCCACGGCTTGAGCACATTGAAGTGATGGAAGCGCGTGTTGATCAACGACGGCTCACGATTTCGTTAACGTGGTGGTGGTCTGTCGCTTGGTGCCTGTAGGCGACAGTTTGGGTCGCCGACAGGAGGGAGAGATAACGGCGGAGACAGCGAAACAGACGGTAATGACGACGTGGACCGTCCGCTTCAACGCTCTTAGCTGTGAAGAAGACAGTCGGCGACGCAGATTCAGGACGACGACGACGGAAATTTTGCATGTCGGTTGGTATCGATGGCAAATTTTGGCACATTGACATTTTCGCGGTTCCTGCTCACACAATGAGCCCGTACATTTTACAGAGCTCTCCGTTTTCAGCTGCCGTCAGTGCCAGTGTACGGCTTACCTCGTATTCGCGACGATGAGGACTACTCTTTTCCAACCCACATCCACGAACTGATCGGAGCCGTTTTCGCGATCAAAGCAAATCGCCTTTTTCGCAAACCGCACGGCGAAAGTCTTGGGCTAGGGTATCCCCAGCCAGTTTCTCGATTTCGCCTCTAGCATCACACACCACACAAATCGTAACTGCATTGCTGGTGTTTGCTCCCGCAAACCCCGAACCCCCGCCATCACAAAACCCCCTGCTTTCCTCGTTCTCCTGCCTTTCCTCCCGTCTGCTTCTGCCGGCGTTATCGTCACGCTGAGATATAGCAATTCGCTCGCATACCGCATTGCACGTAGGCGCGGATCGCTAACAACAAAAGGTACGTGATCATAGCCGTTGAGGAGAGCGACGTTCATTAGGGTTAGCGCACACATACTTCCACGGTTGCTTAGGCGCTTTTCGAACTCGGCACTCCGCGTGCACCATTCGCGCCGTCGCATTCGCCACGCCACAATCACGCCGTTTAGGTCGCCACGCCGCAATCGCACCGTTGCATTGGCGTATGCCACTTTCGCACCGTCGCATTCACTCCCCCTTACATCCCCGCTCCCTGAGTCAATCCCTTTCATCCCCTCTCCCTTTCTTGGGTTCCCCTTCCATTTCCCCACAATTTCTCTAGCTCCCCCTTACATTACGCCTCCCTGTATCATGGGGAGCTTCCCCCCTTCCCCCCGCGCCATACCCTCCCTTCCCCCCGCGCCAAACCCTCCCTTTTCCTCGCGCCAACCCTCATTTTCCGCCACGCTAATCTTCCCTTTCCCTACCGCCAACCCACCCTCTACCCCACTCCCACCCGCCCTTTTCACCGCTCCCACCCTCCCTTTCCCCCACGCTACCCCTCCCTTTCCCCCACGCTACCCCTCCCTTTCCCCCACGCTACCCCTCCCTTTCCCCCACGCTACCCCTCCCTTTTCCCCACGCTACCCCTCCCTTTTCCCCACGCTACCCCTCCCTTTTCCCCACGCTACCCCTCCCTTTCCCCCACGCTACCCCTCCCTTCCCATTTGAGCCAGGTTACCGTCCCACACGCTAACCCTCCCTTTTCCCCACACCACCCCTGCTTTTCCCCCACGCTAATCCTCTCTTTCCGTCCCTACCACCCGCCCTTACCCCCACCTCCACCCGCCCTTTCCCCCACTCCCACCCGCCCTTTCCCCACTCCCCCTCGTCCTTTCCCCCACTCCTCCCTGCCCTTTCCCCCACTCCTCCCCGCCCTTTCCCCCACTTCCCCCCGTCCAATCCCCCACCCCCACCCATACTTTCCGCCACTCCCCCAGGTCCACACCTCCCTTTCGACCATGCATGCCCTCCGCTCCCCACACGCTCCCCACACGCTCCCCACACGCTCCCCACACGCTCCCCCACACGCTCCCCACACGCTCCCCACACGCTCCCCACACGCTCCCCACACGCTCCCCACACACGCTCCCCACACGCTCCCCACACGCTCCCACACGCTCCCCACACGCTCCCCACACGCTCCCCACACGCTCCCCACACGCTCCCCACACGCTCCCCACACGCTCCCCACACGCTCCCCACACGCTCCCCACCACGCTCCCCACACGCTCCCCACACGCTCCCCACACGCTCCCCACACGCTCCCCACACGCTCCCCACACGCTCCCCCACACGCTCCCCACACGCTCCCACACGCTCCCCACACGCTCCCCACACGCTCCCCACACGCTCCCCACACGCTCCCCAACCCCACAACGCTCCCCACACGCTCCCCACACGCTCCCCACACGCTCCCCACACGCTCCCCACACGCTCCCCACACGCTCCCCACACGCTCCCCACACGCTCCCCACCACGCTCCCCACACGCTCCCCACACGCTCCCCACACGCTCCCCCACACGCTCCCCACACGCTCCCCACACGCTCCCCACACGCTCCCCACACGCTCCCCACACGCTCCCCACACGCTCCCCACACGCTCCCCACACGCTCCCCACACGCTCCCCACACGCTCCCCACACGCTCCCCACACGCTCCCCACACGCTCCCCACACGCTCCCCACACGCTCCCCCACGCTCCCCACACGCTCCCCACACGCTCCCACACGCTCCCCACACGCTCCCCACACGCTCCCCACACGCTCCCCACACGCTCCCCACACGCTCCCCACACGCTCCCCACACGCTCC